CTCCTGCTGCCCCTCGTCCTGCTCTGCTCAGGTGCCGGCCCCGGGGACCCCCACAGACGCCGGGCAGCGGCCTGGGCCTGGCCTCTGGCTCAGCGCGGGGGCGACAGGGATGTTGCCCTTACAAGGACCCTCAGGCTCACACTGTCCTCTCCTGTCCTACAGGCGCCCTGATCATTGCTGCGCTCAGGCAGCCGGCAGCAGTGTCCGTCGCCCTTGGACAGACGGCCACCGTCACCTGCAAGGGAACAATAGGTGATGCTGCCTGGTACCAGCAGAAGCCAGGCCGGGCCCCTGTGCTGCTGGTTGATGCAAGTGACAAAAGGGCCCCGGGCATCCCTGAGCAGTTCTCTGGCTCCAGCTCGGGGAGCTCGGCCACTCTGACCATCAGCAGGGCCCAGGCCGAGGACGATGCCGAATACCACTGTCAGTCACTCGACATCAGTGATGATCCCACAGTGACACACGCTGACGGGGAAGTGAGACACAAACCCCTCCCTGCCTGGGCCGCCCTGTCCTCAGCCAGGGGATGGACACAGCCACGATCAGTGCTGACCGGGGCCCAGCTCGGCTGCCCTCCTGCCTCTGCTGACTCTGGTCTGAGCCAGGCACAGAGGGTCGGGGTGAGGGAGGCGCAGGGTGCCCAAGCCCCTTCCCTGGGACATCCTGTGGGCCCAGCACACGCACACAGACACACACACACACACACATGCAGGGTCCTGTCTCCCGGTGTGTTTGTGACCGTCATCAAGGCGAGTTGCCCTGTCCCGGGATATCAGCAACCTCCAGGACCGCCTGCTGCCTTGAGGACATAAACGTCCCAGCTAGAGACAGGCTGGAAGGTCGCCACAGTCTCATCATCCAGGTGCTGCGGGCCAAACTCCTGGGGGACATGCGAGGCCTCAAGGCCGACAAGCCCCACCGCACCCCTGAGACCCTGCAATGTTGGGACGTCACCCTGAGAGTCAGTGCTCAGGGCCATGGCTCAGCATGTCGGGGATGGTGGCAGGGTGACCGGGGTGGGCGTGGCGATGTCCAGGGTCCTGTAGGACAATCGTGGCCGAGCTGGGAGACAGGCAGGAGACAGACCAGCGAGGTAGAGGGTCACTGTGGCCCTGTCGGGGGCTGAAATTCCTGAACGAGAGCGGCAGAGACTTTGCTGTCCAGCCAGAGACGCTGACCTCAGGCGTCCAGGCAAATCCATCTCTGTGCTGCGCGACCAGTGTCCAGTGCCGTGAGTGAGGACGTCCAGGGGGTGCGTGTGCAGCTGACCGGGGCCGGCTGGGGCAGGTGACGCCGACGTCTGCGTCAGGAAGGACATTCTCAGGGGCCACAGGGCGCAGCCGACCCCTGCCGGCCCCCGCTGCTCCCCTCCGCAGTGTCCCCCTGTCGGGCGGCGCGTTCTCTCCCCCCTGCCTATGGGTTGTCCTCTCACCCCCAGAGCTCTGGCCGGCACCCCACTCTCATGTGCATGAGCAATTAACCCTCCGGGACAAACAGCAGGGTTCGTGCCCTGCACCCCTTTGGCGCGACCCCGGTTCCACATTAGGAGTGTGGGTGCAGAGTCCCCTGGGCCCCGGCATGCAGGGGCCGCTGTCCCTGGCACGTGGGTCTTCTCGGGAACGTGTTGCCCTCTTCCGGGCTCAGGCCGAGTCCAGTTTCTGGGTGCCGGGACACTGCGTGCCACAAGTACCTCGAAGCTGACACCTGGAGGGGCAGGGCCTGGTCCACACGGGGAGAGAGCCCGAGGCGGTGCTGAGCTGCGGGGGACGCGGCCATTGCGTGGGATCACCCTGAGGGAAGAGTGACCAGAACGCAAAGTGACCAGTGGTGGAAAGTAGCCAAATGCATAAAACTGAAAGGGAAGACAGATGTCTGCTCCGAGTGTGAGCTCCTCACAGACCACAGGAGGGTCCGCCCCACCCCACCAGCCCCGGGGTCCCTGTCTCTCTGGAGCCTCCCCGAGAGGTGCAGCGGCCTCCCTGGGCTCACTGGCTCTCCACAGGGCCGTGACCCCTCCTGCTGGCCGCGCTGTCTTGCCTGTGTCGGCCCCTCAGGACCGCAGTGGCGTCGGCTTGAGCTCCGCAGCCCCTCCAGTGTCCTAGGGCGACTGCGTCCTCTTGGGAACCACTGCAAAGGGCCCCCGATGGCTCCGGGGTTCAAGGGCAGCAGTAGGAGGGTGGCTGTGCCCTCAGCTCCCCGGCCAGCGAGGGACCCCAGGGTGCAGCAGACCCCTCTTGTCTCCCCGCTGCTCCTCTGTTTCAGTGGATCTGCTGTTCCGCTCCCCACTGTCTCTGGGGCGTCCTCTCAGCCCCCCACGCCGGCCCCGCCTGAGACGAGCTCACCAAGCCCGTTGCTGCTGGGTCCACTGACCCTCGCCTGCTGGGTCGCGTGTCCACTGACCCTCGCCTGGCTTGTCCTGGCCAGAGTGCTGTCCTATGGGAGGGGCCTGGGCAGAGACGGAGGTGGGTGTCTGAGTGTACCC